GATACTAGGTCATCATCATCCATGCTCTTCTTGTGCATCCATATTTGCTATAGATGCAGAATCATCTGCATTAGCAGAGGCGAGAAACAAGAAAGAATTGGTTCTTGATCATGTTGGGCTATTGACACAGCTATTATTGTGGATATAACTTTTGTAATATAGATATAGTCAACCCTAATTTTATGTGGTTTGCCACCATTGGCTCGTCTGTAATTTTAAAGTTTAAACTCCAACCAACGGGTGACTAGCTTGGAAGCTCAAAACTCCATAGGTAAAATTAATTCATTGGCAAGTGAAATCATACACACATTGGCACAGTTAAGCCCCTGTTTGAGCCCCATTATTTTCCATTATTTCCCATTAATTTTTCTACGGTACTCATTTTCAATTATACATTCTTCAATAAAATAATATTACACGCAAACCAAAAAAATTCCTTCTTTTTTATCCATACATTTTCCATCAATCTACTATTCCATAACACATTACACTCAATTAATGGGGGCTCAAACAGGGCATCTTCATACAAGTAAATCATATATGCCTGTAATTTATATTAAATATTAAGAAAAATTAAACAAAAGTGTTGCTTCATATAAACTCACATGCTGGCATCTTCATACAAGTAACTCATGTATGCCTGTCACTCTTTTAGTTATCCTTTCGTTACTCCTGCACTATCTAACTTCATACACCTTATTGTTTATCAATGAAAATTATCTCTACTTCATTTCCCTATTACCTTATTTCCAAATCCATAACCTTATTTCATTTCTCACCCCTTCCCCCATCTCATCTCTATCTCATTATCTAGGTTTCAACTTTCATCCTATCTTCTCTCTTGGTACCACCCCCACCATCCAAAATCTAAATCCAAATCCAAAACCAAATTATCTTTCTATGACGTGGGCTTTCCAAATCTCTTACAGTTACCTCTATTATATTGATTATCTTTAATTTTATTGTGTTCTATTGAAGTCGATTTCTGTTGGAATCTTGTTGTTCAAAATCATGAATGAATGAATTAAGAAAATCATGAATGGATGAATTAAGAGAATTATGGATGGATGAATTAAGGAGAATTAAACTTGGCGCCATAAAAATGGCCTATGCGACCGCATAAGCATTATAGGCATGCTGTCGCATAGACAAGTCAGGGAATTTAGAGGCATCAAATGCTATAACTATGCGACTGCATAGTTATAGCCTATGCAGTCGCATAGTTCAAAAATCCGACCATTGACTGGAACTTTTTCAAATTTCTGGTGGTTTTCTTGGTGAAGAATTGCGCCTTTTCCTTATGAGTTGGAACCATTTCGAGTAGGAATGGTTGAAGACAACAAAAACATGATAATTTTCATTCCAAAACACAATGAAATTCATTCCATTGTTCATACAAAACTTTGGTCAAATTTTGTCACTTTACATTTAGAGAAAATCGGCGACAACTCGGAGAACATTTAAGTTCAATGAGAATTGAAATTTTTTTTAAAAAAGTTCAATGACGACTGCGATATTTAACCCTCATTGTCTATCATGATTATAATACTTCGGAGGCCTGAATTTTCTCTAATTAATACAATTTTTATCTTTCTATATTTTTCATACACGAAGAATTTGTGTATAAAAAGAAAATTGGTTTTGGAATCCAATATTATGGGAGAGCAAGTCAAACTATCATTTAATATCTGTGCTTATTGTGTTTAATTCCACAAATCAAATTGTCAATGTAGCGACCAAGAATTTTAAATTTTATAAAATTGTTTTTTTCTTGAAAAACGTGTCGCTAAATTTTAAACCCTAACGTTAAAGTGAAAACTCGTTCGTCTAGCCGTTATAAACGAATTTAAATTTTTCGAATCGAATTCATTTTCGAATAATTATNTAATTATAAGTACCATAATTTTATTATTTAGAATCCAATTTATTTAGCCCATTTTAAATCAAGTCCAGTTACTTAAAGTCCAATTCTATAAATCCAATCCACCTAAACCCAATTGGAAAACCCTACAGCCCAAATGCTAGGTCCAACTATTTGGCCCAATTGTTATCTAGGGAAATGTGCCCTAAATTTCACTATTTTATTCACCATCATTTCATTTCGCTCCTCCACAATTCACGCAGCCAAGAAATCTGGGTAAGGAAACTCCATTTTTT